GTGATATAACCTATTTGCAACTATGCTTGCGGGCTGCGGCTTGACTCTTTATGAGGACATTCTTAGCTGCTGCCAAATGTGAGACTACTTGGGATGCTTGTACTTCAGCTAGAAGAGCAATTCATAACCCTCTCGAGCAGTTCCTGGGATGATCTTCACAAACTATGGTATGTACTTCTCAAGGCTCAACGTCAAATGCTTAATGCTCAAAACTTGAGATTTCCAAATCCAGAATGTATCTCCAAGGTAAGAAAGTCTATATGCCGAATCAAACACGTGCTCACAGAGAGGGCGATCGATGAGCCAGATCCTATGAGGTGTAGTGTGAGATGAAAAGAATGATAAATGCCGTATGAGAAGAATGATAGTTGTGTTAAAAGGAATGAATGAGAGATGCTGTCATTTGATCCAGTGGCAGATGGACAGGTAGTTTACGGAGTCATATATTTTCTGTTTCAAGAATTTTGTGCTGCCCAGATGATTCGTTGGAGCAGTATGGGGGAGTCGAGGGGGGGAAGAAAAGGGGGGAAAGGGGAGAAGAATGGGGGAAGACGGGGAGAAGAGTCGAGAGGAAGAGAGAGGGAAAGTGAAAGAAAGAAATAGAAAATTAAGACAATTAAATAATATTAATTAATAATAATAATTAAGTTATTATTATTAATGCCAGCTGGTACCATGGGCCAACTTCAGCAATTCTAATTATTTTCACTTCATCTACTATTGAGTTTCTTCTGCAAACTCGTGTTTTTGTGTTGAGATGTATGATAATAGCCTCATAGGTATTACTCATGTTCGCTGTTTATCTACACATGTGACTTTTCATAGTCATCATGAAAACGAAAATGAGTCGAGATTTATCCTGCTAGCAATTTTCTCTCAACACCAGTGTCTTCTGTTAAATACAATTGAGCTTGACGATCAATCAGAGGCCACCTTAATTCCCATCCAATCTTAGCTTTGAGAAACTGCCTGGGAAGTTACAATTCCCATACAAAGTATCCATCTTAGATTTATCCACACTCATTTATGATCGTTCTCATAAATTTGAGACTGTTCAGGGTTTGTCAGTACGATAAAAGAATTGAGATCTCTGTTTTCCTTATCACAAACACATGGTATTCCAATATCTCCCAGAGATCTCGATTTGATGAGCCCAGATGATCCTTCACTTTAAATGATCGTTTCTTCAGATCTCCTTTCACCCTTTTCCTTTGCATCAGTTATCAATACAACCCTGTCTAAGGCTATAACACACCTTTCCTTGGAAATTCAGAGCAACATTTTCAATTGTCATTATTTTTTTTACTTGATGTGTCATATTTTTTGGTCCATCAGTAAGACTTATCTCTTCAAGTAACACAGGTTTTGAATTCGAGCTGGAATCTGAATCAACCCTTTTCGCCCCTTCTGGATTATCGGGTGGATATCCCGTGGATTGAATAATATCATCATTTTGAAGGTGATTATGTCGTCCTTATGCTGAAGTTCGCTGGTGAGTGGAAAACGATTGCCAGATTTGCGTTTTGACGTAGCTCAGCTGCTCAAACGTTGATAAATTTGAAAGTAGAATTTAGAATTGTGCCCTTCTTTCTATTACCTTAGGGATTACAAATGAGTGGGAATGGTGCACACAGACTGAAGTTCAAAGCTTCGCCACAGTTGAAGAAGATGTTTCCTTATTTGTATTAGGGGCTGTAGGGAAGGGGGGCGGGATGGAAGCAAGGAATGAGAAGAGGAAAGCTTCAGCTGCCTGTGTAGTAGTAAAACGGAGGTGGGTAACTACCTACTTGTTGTAATGCTGGAACTGCTAGTGTACTAGAAGAATCAGGGCACTACCTACTCGTTGGCAAATGTACTATAGTGTGATGTTATCTGCTTAATTATTGATGTAGTGATATTTTAGAATTAGAAATTACCAGATATGGAAGAAAAGAGAGAACGAAGGAGACAAAGAGATTGGGAGGAGAGATAGTCTGCAATTTTTGTCCCTTTCCCTATTTGCTCTAACCGTATTTGTAGGAATGGGGGTGGGGACCCCTGCATAACAACCCACTTGCTAATACTAAAAAACTGAATTTATGTTTATTACATTATAGTTCTATTAATAATTTAGCTATCAGGAGTCTTTTAGAGGCCCAACTAAAAATAACAAGTAAATCACGACCATATATGCCAATTCTCCCCTCTTGAGAAAATCCTTGTCCTCAAGGATTGGTAGGTGGTATGGAATTCCCGTAGTTGGCTGAAGTCGAGCAACTGGCAGTGGATTCTTCCTTTTTTTCATGTGACGGAAACAAAGCGGGCGACACACTGGCCCTTTCAGCATTCTTACTAGCTCTTGCTGGGGTTGGCAGAGGAGCAGAGTTATCATCTTGGTTAACCTCTGGGAGTTGTGATGCCACTACTGCGTGGGAACTGATGCAACGCTTCAGTAAGGAGACATGGTAAGCCACTTTCCCCACCCTTACCAAAACAGTGTACGGACCATAGTAGTGAGCTGATAGTTTCTGATTTCTGCGTTGAATTGAATTTTGTCGGTAAGGTTGTAACTTCAGATATACTTGATCCCCTATTGCAAATTCTCTATCTACCCGTGTGTGTCTGCGTAAAGTTTCATTCTTTCTTGTGCCAGCTTAAAATTTTCTTTGAGCTCCTGTCTTTTTTGCTGTCTTTGGGTAATTAGTTCCCAAATTTTAGTACTGGTTCCTGTAGAGGGAGTGGGTAGACAGAGAGTTGGGGTGTTGTGTCCATATGTTGAGACCATCCTGCAAACTCAGAGAAGAATTCTGCGATTTCGAAGAGACTTGCGCAAGGTGAGAAGCAGTTTGAGAAGGATTCTGCGAACAAGGATCTTCTGCTGGTGACGAAATCAGCGCATTCGAGGTCACCTGTGAACTAAGGAGTTCTGTTAGGGATGAAGTTGAAGTGACTTGGGATGACATCTGATTTTCAGTTGGCCGACGGAGTCTAGGAGGGCTCCTCACTTGGCCTGTAGGTCTCCGGCGACGCGAAAGTTCGCGCATCTTTTTCAACCAGATTCGCATATCCTTCCCCCAATCACTTTTCCGCCAGCTTCTCCACTTTTCCGCGCTCAACCTTTTTCGCTAGCTTCTCCCCTTTTCCGCGCGAAGCATCCTGATCAGATCTTCCATGTTCCCTGCGACACACGCTTCTCAGTGTTCGCGTGCAAACCAGGGGCAACTGACCTTCGACGTTCCCTACGCTGCTCCATTTTTTTATCGTGTGACTTAGATCGAAGCTTCCCAGGGACAACGATTTTGATACCAATGTTAGGGACCTCAACAACGCAGCAGAGTTTTAGTATTATATTGATTAAAAAACTAAGAAGACAGTAGTGATTACAATGGTAGAAACGAGAGATCAACGTAAACTGAAAATTACAGGGTTGAGGCTCTTCAAGAGAGCCTCACTCTCCCAGCCTAATTCCAACTGAAATTCTGGCTACCTTCTTCCTCCTTCCCCCTTTTATATCATTTCTCTTCTTAAGGGCTGGCCACTGGTCCATATTTCTTGAATTACATGGCCCAAAACATTAACTTATACAATAACACTATTAATAATACTCTGTTATTCTTATTATTATTGGTTGTCTATGTCCCTATCAAATAATGATCAAACTCCACTGACTAATAAAAGCTTTGGAATGTTAATTATTACCATAGTCACTATAACTACTTAGTTATTCCTACTACGGCAGTCGGAGGACTCAGTGTTAGGGCACAGACACAAATCAAAGCTAAAACAGTAAACGAACACACAGATCTGATGAACAGAGATGGAAATAGATGTTTATTGATGAAATAGGTAATCCGTAGGCAGTACAGGGACTTCTTAGGCAACCGGGACTCTTAGGGGACAAGGCAACAGTTCTCAAAATAACAGTCTACCTATTAAGGCTATCCCAGCTTCTATTTATAGCCAAAAGTCCACGCAGGGACTAAATAGACAACTAAATAAGCTATAGACACTTAATAAGCTATTTAACTCCCCTAACCCCCTTATTTAAGACTACTGATTAGGCTGATGCCTAACATTACTCCCCCCTAAACAACCACCTTGTCCTCAAGGTGGGTGATAGGACACAGCCTTGATTTTGAACTTCCTCTTCATCTTGGAACCTCTTCCTTCCCAGTACCTCCCGGATTTCCCACCCAAAAGAAGCTTGTTTATTGCTCCTTTTGCTGTTTCTATAAACCAGTCATCATTTGGTAAAGCACTTGGTACAATGCCCCTAACCGAATATGTCCTGGTCACCCGAGACATTATATCCGATGCTATTTGATGCACTATCCTGGAAGGGTATCCAGCAACCCGTGCTATCTCTACGGTGTAGTGCATTTCCAGCATTATATGCTGCAATCCATGTTGTGTAAGAGGAGCAGAACTATCCTCTAGAACACCCCAAAATTCTTGCTCATCATGCCGCCACATGACCCCAATCTCAATCAGCCCGGCAAGCAAAACCTTCTGTATTTTCTCCCTCCCAATTAGTATGTCACCAGCCACAGTTGCCAACTGCTGCAGCTTACAGTTCTTCACTGTAAGGAGCAGAAACAATATCTTGGTGGAAAAATGCTCCCTGGTGCTGCAAAAGTTAGAATCTCTTGGCATCTGCATCTCCTGTTGTGTCCTTTGCTTGTTTTCCGACATCTCTTTAAGAGAATTGACCTCATCTTGTTCAAGACCATGAACCATTTCAAAAGCATCTGGAAAGGGTAAAAGAATCGGGTAAAAGGCTAAGATGACTAGGTTTAAGTATTTAATAAAAGAATCGGGTTTCATTGAATTTCATAATAACTTGTACAAGGGTTTTATCATTCTCCAAGTTCGTTTCCTGCTTTGAAGATAGTTCGTGCCTCCAGTTACATTGAATGACTTATGTTTCATCATCTGTCAGGCACCCTTTTTAAACTAGAAATTACTCTGTCAAAGGAAATAAGAACACTGGCAGCTGAAGCTTTTCTTAATGCCAGCTGGTTCCAAGGGCCAACTTCAGCAATTCTAAAGTATGTTATTTTCACTTCATCTACTATTGTGAAGATCCAGGCCTCAGTTACATTTGAAACTAGAAATTTAGTCTTCTGTAAACTCATGTTTTTGTGTTGAGATATATAATATAATAATAATAGCCTCAGAGGAGAGTGGAATCGAGGGGAATCCGGGAAAGAGAAGAAGAAAGGGGAAACGGGAAAGGAAGGGAGAGAGTTCTTTTTTGCCTCAAGACTTCTACTTTTATGGCCATTTGCTTTGAAGATAAGGATTGGAAGGATATCCAAGTTCTTTTTTGATCAGGTTTGAATTAGATTATATCCAAGTTCTATCATCTGTCCGGCAGCCTTTTTAAATTACAAATTACTCTGTCAATCATTTAAATTACAAATTACAAATACCCTTTTTAAAGCTGGTTACTAGTACAATTCTGAAGTATGTTAATTTCTCTTTGGCTGTTTATTGGTCCATCAGTTTCACTTCCCTTTGCCTGTATGGTGTCTCATAGGTATTATTTTGAACTGGTGAGTGGAAAACGATTGCTAGGGTTGCATTTTGACGTAGCTCAGCTGCTCAAGCGTTGATAAATGTGGTTCTATGGGGGTATACTGTATATTACAAATGAGTGGGAATGGGGCACACAGACTGAAGTTCAAAGCTTCACCACAATTAAGGAAGCTGTTTCCTTATTTCTATTAGGAGCAGCGGAGGAGAAGAAAGGGGGAAAGGGAAACGGGTATGAGTGAAAGAGTAGAGAGAAGGAACAGGAAAGAAAGAGGAAGCAGAAAGGGAAAGTTATTGAATTCATATTATACAAGGGTTTTATTATTCTCCAAGTTCGTTTCTTGCTTTGAAGATAAGTCTTGCCTCCAGTCTCCCCGGTCCTTGATCAAACTATCCCCTACTGGTCCTGTTCACTTCTGTAATCTTTCTCGCTTCCGAGTAAATCAGAAGGCCGAAGTGTTTGGCCTTTGCTACTCCTTCTCCATGCCTGCTGATCTCTCCTGGATTGGCAAGCATCCGGCTGCCAGAGAGAAATAAAGTCGAAATTATAGATAAGCAGGTTGTGTAATTTTCAAGTAAAGAAGATAAAATTTTAACAAACACCAGCAGCCACTTAAAGCTATTGACAACTCAAAGAAGAGAAAGTTATCAAAAATACTACGCCATAGTTCAGAGTCCAGATTTAGTAGGAATGAAGGAGAGGAAAAGAAAGGTGAAGAACTGAAGAAAATGTTAGAAACAATTGTAATGCACTGGAAAGAAGAAAACCCAACTGCGTTTGCGGAGATTACATAAATGTCCTTAAACATTAGCGGGGAAAAGACTTGGTTCACTTAATAATATATAGATGTAAGATATCCCACCCACTTTGTTTTTATTTCAATTGATTTTTTCACATTCTTAAAATCGATATATTCATGACATTGCATAGGCATTTGGTTTGTACTACACTACTAATTTTCTTGATATATGAATACTTGAATTAATGCAAACATATCTCAAACGATTACCATACCATACCGTTTCAAATAGTAGCTTTTGATGGACTCCTGACCTAGAATGCTAACCATGAGAGCTTGAGCTAAAAGGGTGAAGTATTTTAGTCTTCTCCTACTATTTGACATTGCTGAAATTTTCTCTTCTTTGAGTTGTCTATAGCTTTAAGTGGCTGCTGGTGTTTGTTAAATTTTGCTTCATTGAGGAGCTTCTTTTCGTGTTTCACTACTATCAACTTTCTATTTGTTTTAAACTGGATTTTATAAAGGGAAAAAACTTTACTTTATAATAAACATATATGTAAACTAAATTAAACTGTATAACCATGTATTTTCACCCCTCAAATTAAACTATTAGTTCTCATTACTTATCATAATTAAAGGAATAACTAAAAAAGAAGATTCTTTTCAGTTTTTTCCATTACGATAATCAAGTAATGTATAGAAAAGAAAAAAATGACAGTTTATCGGTAGGATTAAAAGGCAAACAAACCCTCCATATGACCAATTTCTTTGATTGACACATTTACTTTACACCATAAATATAGGAATTGACACATATACTTTACACCATAAATATAAGAATATGAGGTATAGTTAAAGCTATGCTTACTGATTAGGAATAAGACTTTCACTTTCAAAAAAAGACTTAGAATGATGGTTTTGAATGTGTTAGCAATGTATTCTGAAGCAAAGAATTCTCTCCTTAGAACAGAAAAATAAGAAAATAATAAGAGTTGTTAGTAGAATGTCATAGTTATGACATTCTTATTTTAGAATATCAGTCAGCTTAGAGGACTGCCTAATCTTCATTGTTGGGATTCTATTAGATCTCATGTAGTTTATATTAAAAGCATCTAACACTGGGAGTGCGTTACAGCTTTAGGAAGGCTGTCCCAGAGTAGGTATTTTGGTCCTTAAAAAATCCACCAGATACTTGCAACTTTTGGTGGGATCCAATATAAAAAGTGCATGTTCAAAGAACACAAAACCTGATAAAATTGTATCAACAAAGGAGACTAAAACTCCAGAAAACATACATGGAGATAATTACATTTTATAAACCAATTATAATAAATCACAGATATAATAAATCAATTATATTGATGAAAGAAAGTGACAGAACTAATGTGGAAGTAATGAAATAAGGTGGATTTGATCAGACAAAACCATGTATTAATTAGATTCCCACAAATTATTGAATACCTCAGTGGTTAAACAATCAACATGACAACTCTTTTATAAAATCTAAGGGGTTCAACTATAGCTGCAGGGTATACTGTGTGGAAATATTTTTCACATAGTATAAGAAAAACACATAACAATACTAATACGGAGTACTATTTAGAGTCCTCGTAGCTGCAAGCCTGCAACTACAATTTTCACAAAATAACTCCATTAAAACAACATCATCTTTGCTAAGATATCTTTAATCAGATAGTACGGAGTGTGAAAGTAATTTAATTAAGAAAGGGCATGAAGACCGTTCATTGAACTTTTAAAATGAAAAGCATGAAATCACTCATTTTCATTTACCCCAGTGCCGCAAAGGCTCCCACCCACGGTGGGGTAAGGGGGGTTGGATGTACGCAGTCTTACCTCTGTACTGAAGCACAGAGAGACTGCTTCCGGATGACCAATATTTTGTCTACGAATACTCACCAATATCGAGAAATTTGGAGTTGATGGACTCTTTGGAGTTGGATCAAGTCGAATATATCTGAATTCGTTTGATGATAACAGAGCTCCAATTGAGAGTCCAGTTCAGCAAGAAGTCTAGCGCAAGGTTTGTGCTCGAGCCCTAAAATCTGAATTCGTTTGATGATAACAGAGCTCCAATTGAGAGGCCAACTTCAGCGAGAAGTGTAGCGGAAGGTCTGTTCTAGAGCCCTAATTTCCCCGAACTTGAAAGAATACGCTAGGGTAAATCGGAAGAATAGAAAGTTTAGCTGTAATTACGTAAATATCCCTAGTCAGTAGGCGGGAACGTGACTTAAGCGTTTTAATATATATAGATTCCTTCTGCCTTCAATTATCTGCTCTTGCTTCTGCTTATTACTTTGTCCCTCCTTGTGCCACAAATATCCATCTCCTTGAATAATATGATTCAACCCTTGTTTCTTCCATTTTATGATCTGGTTTTGGAAATTAACTTCCATATCACCTAGATCAATCAACCATTCCATTCCCAACACCATGTCAGTCCCACCTAGCTCCAACATATAAAATTTCTGTTGAATTTCATTGCCCTGCACATTCAGTTTCATCCCTTCACATCTACCATAGTTAGAGATCAAGTCTCCATTCCCTATTTGTACCTTATATCCCTTGATACTTTGGAAAGGTATCTTCCATCTTTCTACAAATTGTTGGGATATAAAGTTGTGGGTAGCACCACTATCAATCAAGATATTCATCTTTGCTCATTTTCTGACCATTTCAATTCCCCTTTTACCTTGAAAGTATTCGTAGAGGAGCTTCCTTCTTTACTTAAGACTGACAACTACGTAGTCTTGGATCCCATATGAACCCCTTCTCCTACTTCTGAGTCACTAGTTGCAGTTTCAGATCCTTCCTCTCCTTCAGATAGTTCCATCATCACCATTTTGAAGTTCTTCATCCTGCAATTGTGACCCCGGTTCCAGTTTTCACCACATTTAAAACATAATCCTCTTCTACTTCTTTCTTGCAGCGCATTCTGTGATAATCTGGGGCTTGTTTTCTTCTGAACCGAATTTGAAGATTCCTCCTTATCATCAACTGAATAGTCGCCAAATAGGTTCTTGGTTGTACTAGAACTCCCTCTATAGCCATTTCCCCATTTATGGTAACTTTGTCCTGTTCGATTTGTCTTCCATACCTTCTTCCCTTCCTCCTTGTTTCTTCTAGACAATACTTCATGATTCTTATGCTCAGTCAATAGTGCTGTGTCCATAATCTCAGCCAGATTCCTCGCACAATAAAGCTTCAACTCAGCTCTAATGTCCTTCTTCAATCCATTCAAGAAAATTCCCTTAGTTACCTTCCTGCTTAAGACCTAATAAAGGTCCCAGAGGGTTCTGAACCAATTCTGGTTGAAATCGCCTAGTTAAAGCTGCCTTCAAAGTTCCCCAATTCCTCTCACGCGTTTGGTTCTCCCATCCTTGGAACCAGCTAAGGGCTTTGTCCTCCATAGCTACCACCGCTACGTTTACCTTATCATCCTCTTCGATATGATTAAGACGAAAATAACGATCAATTCTGATTAACCACCCATAAGCATCTTCACCGTTGAATAACGGTAAATCAATTTTCCTCCCTGTTCGATGGTGGTGGTGGTGACTATATTCTCTGTGTCGGTGATGATGGTGATGTGGTGGTGAGTAGTGGTTGTTCCCTTCCGAGTCATTTGAACTCACTGATTTTAGTTCATGTTGTGACTGACGCTCCCGATGGTGGTGCTGATGGTGATGCGTAGGTTCATAGTCTGAGTTTTCTCCCGAATCTCCAGAGTGAGTTGATTTTCGTGAATGGCGTGATTGATGGTTGTGCAAAGTGCGATGCGAAGCGGTTGAAGCTTTCGATCTACTTCGCGATCGATCTTGCGCTCGAGCGTCCAATCTGGCGAGAAGAGTCGCCTGCATCTCTGCTAACATCTCCGTGGTCTGTTGTTGATTTCTGTCTACTTTCTCTTCCAGTTCGTTCATTCGTATATCCATCTTCGTTCTTGTCCAGACCATCCACAAAGATCGACGATGCTCTGATACCACTGATAGAACTGTCTAGGTATTGAGAAAATTTACAAAATATTATCAAAGAAAATTTCAAGAACAAGAACTGTAAACTTTATTGATGAAGAAGCTCAGTAACAATGGCCGAAGCCCCAAGAGAGAGATAATTCTCAATCTTCCCAGAAAATACTAAACAGTCAAAATAGCCTCCCTCTATTCTGACTTTACATCTATTTATAGTATCCCACCAACAGAATGTAGTTATTATCTCAAACAGAAATATAACTACACCAACTCTTTTATTTAATACCCTAATAGGTCTGTCCCTAACATGGAGTCATCAGAATTTGGAAGTAGCCAAAACGTAAATCAATCTTTGAGAAGAATTGTGCCCCCCTGAGTTCATCCTAAAAGGTGAGTGATCACTAATTACAACTGAAAATCTGCCTACCTTCTTCCTCCCTCCTTCCCCCTTTTATATCATTTCTCTTCCTAAGGGCTGGCCCATATTTCATGAATTACATGGCCCAAAACATTAATTTATACAATAACACTCTATTAATAATACTCTGTTATTCTTATTATTATTGGTTGTCTATGTCCCTATCAACTAATGATCAAACTCCACTTACTAATAAAAGCTTTGGAATATTAATTACTACCATAGTCACTATAACTACTTAGTTATTCCTACTACTGCAGTCGGAGGACTCAGTACTACCCAGAGTTGTTGATGTTAATGAGTGTTATTACTCTTGACGATGTATACTTGTACTTCGTCAAGTGGTGATCTTGTAAATAAAAATGACATAAAGAATATAAAACCAACATGATACCCTATGTTTACTTGATTTGGGAACATTTACTATTATCATGAAATTCATACTTAACTCCGTGGTCATCCACATATCTCACAATAATTGTTATCTGCTCTTTGACCGAATTACTACTTTATCTAATGGTCTCCACTTATCTTTTTGCCAGATAAGTACTAATACTAAATTTGGGATTGGAAGCAGGGGCATTTCCCCCAGCCCCCAGGTCCTCTATGCCCTAGCAGGAGTTGTGAGCCGACGAGGAAGATGGGAGAAAGACACTCTCTAAAAGCCCCTACTGGCTTCAAAGAACAAGATACTATCTGGCTTTAAGAAGTAATTCAATATCCCAACTTTGAAATAACTTTCGGTCCCATATATGAGTCTTCTCGTCGTTGTTAAAAGCATATAAAGGGGTTCTAAATTTTGAAGCCATGTGAAAAATCAATGCGTTTTTATGCATTTTTTAATAAAATAACTTTAGGTCCCGTATATTTACTTTTCATTTTATGTGGCTCAATATTAATTCTTATCAATGAGAGTATATATGCTTGATAAGGTCTGCTTCTTTAGGTATTAGTTCTCAAGTATTAATGAATTTTTTGCTTACAACATATGTACTTGATTGCAGTAAAAGTTTAACTAATTATGCTTCATATAATCAACTTAGATAGTTTGAACTTAATATTAATTAGAACTGGG